AGTGACCTACACATTATTTCAATTGATCGTTTTGGCGTATCCGGTCTGCAAACCGGCATTTACGAATTTATTTTCAATAAAAAAGAACACTCGAAAACTGTGCCTCGGCATATGCACCAGGCTACTAATTATCTTTCTCTTGTTTCATTTCCAGAACTGTCAAGCAGGTTCCTTCCCAAAGCAGATCCTTCACCAAACCCTTGATTGATCCTTCAAACGTCCTTCAACAGAACCTTGACAAAAATCGAATTAATTTGTCGACAAAACCAACAAATTTAGCAGAACGGCTAGCAACTTAACAGTGGATTCGTTACTGCAACCGATAAAAACGCATTGCACATATTTTTCGGTTTTCACAGCGCTGGTGGTACCACCAAACATTTTTGTTAATAAAAAACGCAAATAAACTAACATTTGAGAAAGAAAAAAAGTAAAGGAAGTCAGGAAGGAAATTTCGCTTATAACTATCTATTCAAAATTTAGCATACTTAATCTACGTCCTTACCTCTTTTCCTCACCTCCATTACTCCCTCATTTCCTCATCCTACACTCGATCTGGGAAATCGCACTCATCTGTGGAGATTTCGATCCCCAAAAAAGTCGGAACGCAGATTCTAACTTCCTTAAGAAATTCTATTCTCACTACAGTACTAAAACAACTGCGCTAGAACCACTCGCTAGCGGCAAAATTGTAGGAGGGAATGGAACTTGGAGACCTGTTGTCCAACAGCACACGCGATCCTTGCCATAGAAAAAAAAAGGATTTATCGATACAATCTGAAAATATTACGAACCTAAGAGGTCCTCGGATTGCAACAGTCGTTCCGTGGATATGATGGATAGGGTCTGGAGCATCGAGGCAGGTTCCGAGTCTCCTAAATGAGGGAAGCATTTCCTGGAAAGCAGGAAAAAATGGATCCTGCTCATTAGAATGAAGGAATCTCGAGTCCTGCTCCGCGCATTTCTCGGCGAATCTTTGAGCGATTTCTGAAACCGAACCAAAAATAAATAAACAGATCAAAGTGGACCTATTTCTCAATTTCAGCTTAGTACCTGAACCAAACAAGATAACCGAGATCATGTTGAGTTCTTCGCAAAACAAAAAAAGAAGGGGTTATGAGCCTACTCATAATGCAACGTTTTCACATCCGTAGATGAACACATTCGATTAATGCTACTGATTGGGGTGACTTTCTGCGGGATGCAGTGAGGAGAAAAGTCCGCGCCAACTCTCGAATCTTTAACGCACAATTGCCAGTTCCAAACTTTTTCTGTGCCTAGTGGATACTTCAGCCGAGTGACCCTTCCCCCGTCCTCGTTCTCTGTGTCTTCAACTTTGAGCTCGATTTTTCATGTTCTTTGAGTTTCTCCATCAGCTCGTTCGCGGGGACCTTGCTCGTTTTCCTGATGAAAAAAGCGCCTTCCCCCAAACACAGTTAACTGAGTAAAGTGTCGTTGACTTTCAACAGTTTTTTTCAAGTTTAGTCTGCGAAGCCTTGGAACAGTCTGTGAAAAACATTAGCCTCTTGAGCTTGGGATGCTATTGCAGACAATCCCACTGGTCAAAAGCAATCGCCTATCCTCCCATTTTCGACAGCTTCGACATATTTAAACTCCAGTTATTTCTCTAAATCAGCTGAGCATTCAGGATCGAATATTTTTTCGTAATCGACAAAGCTTGCATATCTTTGCTGTTAAGACTAACAAGACCGCTCTGACAAACGACATCCCAGGTTAATGACGCAACTGATTCCACACGTTGAGTGCAGCTGCATTTAGATCCCTCGATTCCAAGCTGCATACCTCCGGCTAGTATCTGTCCAGCATGTGCGCCATCTCTTCGGGGATCACTCGAGTTGTCGTTTACTTTCTTCGAGTGTTTCTCATTGATACGTAACAATCACCAGTCGCCAGCAAAGTTACGAAGATGACTTCCTAGCCGATTTTACTTTCTTACATAATATCCTTACCTTTCATTTAACGGAGAGCCTGACCGCAGATATAGCATGGTTGCAGCATAACAGCACTTTGCATTTCGTTACAATAACAGTATAAAGTCGAATGTTTTACCTCGCTTCCAATAGGGCTGTGCCGGATGGGATCGGTATTCAGCCAGGTCGACAGTATGGCGCAGCAAAAAGCGCTTGTTGCCAAAGTAGAAGGTCGATAACTGGCGATAGTCCATATTCGCTCTACAATTCAGCATTCATGAAGCTCATTTTTGAAGTGTTTCACATGCGGTTTTAATGAGTATTCATGATCCGGCGATCTTCGATACTTTAATAAGGCATTTTTTACTTTATCTTCCTTAAAGTCCTGGTACCAATTTACTGTAAAAGCGATTCATTTCTTTCTAATAAACCTAATGAGTCTGGAAACTCAGCCCGAAGAGTTAAAGAGGGACCCAAAAGCTTACCGGACAATGCGTCACGATGTCCTCAGTTTCATATTCTTGAAAGCTGTTTTTTTTGGTGCAAAAGCGCGAGTTCAGTTTTCATTTCCCCTCCCACTGTCCTAGAAATTAGATTCCAGAATTTAATCCCGAACAGCTCAGAGATTTCAAATGCTTCCGATTTGCTCAGTGATAAATTACGCCTTTTTTATTTTGCAAATCTTTAGCTTTCTTATGTCTCCATATCTCATTTAGTTCGAACCATACAGTTTAAACCTTAAGTCAACCTACGGATTTTTCAACTCGTGAAAAAAAGACATCCAGCGTTTATAGAACCGTGCTGCTCGCTTTCAGTCGGATCGCTATTGAAACATACCGGCCCGTTAGAATGTCAAGTGCACCCTGGATGTATGTCTTGAAAGGGCGAGCATCTCCATAGGGCAGGTCCTGGATAAATATCGTATTCCCAATGCGCTCGACGTCGAAGCGATAGAAGCGATGCTCATTTTCGATGAATCTGAAACAAAAATCCAATTTTAACTTCTTTTAAGGAAAATCCAATTTTTTTTAAAATAAAATACTCTGATAACCGACACTCACTGCACTGCACCGCTTTCATCATGGATTACATTTGCAAGCAGATTCCTTATTCACGAATAACAGTGCAAAAAATGATCAATTTACATTGGAGTGCTGAAAACACCACTAACTGTAT